AGCTCTTATCAAAATGATCTCAAGAAGACACATGCACTTCAATATATAGGGGATAACAAGGTGTACAGCTGGATGAACACAGCAGGCCAAGCAGCATCAGAGGAGCAGGAAAGCTACGTTTCGGGCCGAGACCCTTCTTCAATATATAGCTAGTTTATTGGGTTAAATACTTTATACACATATGAATTAATAATTGTTAGTTTATACTACTGATAAATATATATTAAAGTTATGTAATTAAACAACGGAGATAAACAAGTGAGTCTCACATGCCTTTCTATCCATTGGGGACTATGACAATGGTGCCACTCAGAGCTCTATCTCAGATTCCATGGCACCAATCACATAAACCCCAGGCTGACAGTATGACATCCAATGAGTGGGGCAAAGTCCCTGATATTAATACTACTCTGAATCCAAGGTTACATGTTGAATCTCCATTTTGTCATAACTTCAGTACTCTTCCAACCCTCAAAAATAAGTGGAAAACAAATCTAGGGGGTCTCATGTGGACTGCATAAGTAGACGATTTCCACTGACACTCAAGGTCATGCAGGTCCCCCCAGTCAAAACAGGTTGTTTTGCATTAAGTCTGTTTTTCATGTACTTTTCTATTTTAGTTAATTTGCCCATTGTCATGTCCAATTAACCCTTAATGGTCTGGTCTGAAGATATCATTTTTAAGCCCAACACTACAGAGTTGTGTTCGGAGGAAGGGTCACCGGACCGAAAATGTTAACTCTGTTTTTTCCTTTTCAGATGCTGCCAGATCTGCTGGGCTTTTCCAGCAATTTTGTTTTTGCTCCTGATTTACAGCATCCACAGTTCTTTCGGCTTTTATTTACTACAGGGTTGCAAATTGGCATAGCTAGAGGATTGGCTAACTAATAGAAGACAGAGAGTTATGATGAGGGAGGCATTTTCAGGATGGCCGCAGGGATCAGGACTGTCGTCACAATTAGTTACAATATACATTAATGAGTTGGATGTGGTTAGAGAATATTGTATCACCAAGTTTGCAGATGGCACAAGAACAGGTGGAAAGGCAAATGACATGAAGCATCTGCAAGGGATATAGACTGGTTAAGTAAATGAGCAAAAACTTAGCAGATAGAATATAATGTGGAAAAAAAGTGTGAGGATATGCACTTTTAAAGGAAGAGCTGAATATTACTTAAGTGGAGAAAAACTGCAGAAGCTAATTCACAGAGGGATTTGGGAGTCCTCCTACATAAATTTCAAAAGCTAGCATATAGGTTCAGCAGGTAATAGGGAAGAGAAATGGAATGTTAGCCCTTATTTCAAAGGGAATGCAGTACACAAATTGGGATGTCTTGCTAAACTATACAAGGCACAAAGTAGATCACACCTAGAATGCTGTGAACAGTTTTGGTCTCCTTAACTAAGGAAGGAAGCACTGGGGGGAATCCAGAAGGTGTTCACTAGGTTGATCCTGGGTATTAATAGGCTGTTTTATGAGGGGGGTTTGAGTAAGTTAGGCCTGTACTCATTGGAGATTAGAAGAATGAGAATCAGACTCCGTGAAACACAATATTCTTTGGGAGCTTGACAGGATAGACATTAAACATTGCAGTGTGTTGGTCAGAAGCCGTCAGTTCAGAGTTAGGGATCTCCCAGTTAGGGCAAAGCTGAATGAACACAGCAGGCCAAGCAGCATCAGAGGAGCAGGAAGGCTGACGTTTCGTGCCTAGATCCTTCTTCGGAAAATGGAGAAAATTCTTCATTTTCTGAAGAAGGGTCTAGGCTCGAAATGTCAGCCTTCCTGCTCCTCTGATGCTGCTTGGCCTGCTGTGTTTATCCAGCTCTACACCTTGTTATCTCAGATTCTCCAGCATCTGCAGTTCCTACTATCTCTCCCAGTTAGGGCAGACCTGAATAGGACTTTTTCTCTCCGAGGGTCGTGAATCTGTGAAATTCTTTACCATAGTGGGCTCTAAGGCTGTGCCACTGAGTGTATTCAAGGCTGAGATAGGCAGGTTTTTAATCAGTAAGGGAATCAGGGTGATGGAGATCAGGCATGAAAGTGAAGTTAACGATTATCAGATCAGCCGAAATCACATTGAATGGCGGAATAGACTCAATGGGCTGAATGGCCGACTTTTGCTCTCATGTCTTACCATCTTGTGAACAGTTCTGGTGAATTTGGTCTGCTCAACGGAAGAACATATTGGGCTCAACATATTGAGTCTGTTTCTCACTCCACAGATGCTGTTAGATCTGCTGAGTTTCTCCAGTATTTCCTGTTTCTATTTCAGGTTTCCAGCATTTGCAGTATTTTGCTTTTTTATATCCTGCGTGACCTTTTCTGCTTCTACTCCCTTGGCTTTGTCATGTGGGACAATTCCTTCTGCCATTATGCACTCACTCGCTGCATCTATTTCTGTAACATGTCCTGTCTTACAATCTTTAAGATCATTTTAAAATCACCTGCTAACTCAATGTTCTTTTATTTTTGCTACTCCTGTTTATTTATTTCTGGTTCATTGCAGCTCTGAATCACCGTGACACACTATTCTGCCTAAAGATACTATATAAATGTGAAATGTGGCAACTGCGTTCACAAAAATAAGTCTGAGACACCAACTGAGGTTGAGTGGGCGTGCAGGGGATAGATATAGATATGCAACACCAAACATTAACCCCATCCTCCGTCCTGAAAGGGAACTGAAGATCCAGTGATCTACCAGAATCTGCTCCTCGAAGAAAAAGGAACAATTTGTTTAATTATCTAAAATATTTCCCTAATACAGATACATAATATAACAGCATACGCATTCAGTCCTCTTTAACTCATTGTTCCTGCCGCTTTGTTTCATTGGGTTGACCTACTTTGGTTGAAATTGTACTCATTTTGCTCATTAAACACAGATTATTCCATCCTCCTGAGTGTCGTGTGGCTACAAACTGTTATTTAACCACCCGTCAGTCTGGGAATCCCTTCCCATTCCACTGCAAGCACCGAAGCAAATTCAGTATCGGTTGGTCCAGACTCTGCTAAGCAGTGGTAGGAGCAGGGTGAGAATGTCATTCCCTATGGAATATCCTCCTGTGGACTCAAATCATAAAAGCATCACGGTACGTGCTCCAGTTTAACATTGAGTGCTGCTGAGTCCTCTCTCTCTGTCCTGCTCCAGCAGATTACTGGAGCGAACACTAACCTGTCTCTTACCTCCGCAATTCTATTCGCTCGCAACTGAAGAGCTCACTGCAAACAGGCTCCTTCTCCTCACCGCTGCTGGCTCTCTACTATGGTTCGCCCCTTCTTTTCACCCGGAGGACGGCTCAATGCTCTCCCAAGCTTCGACAATGAGACCAGGTCACATTAATCCATGTGGGGTTCTTGTTCAATTTGCACCTGCCCCCGAGTGCGCACGGTGACTGGCAGCTTCAGTTTTCCCCAGACTCTGGTTTTTCTTACTGTCCATTTGACGCCAAGTGCTGGACGATTGAGCCAAGAACTTCCCACAGCTTGGCCGAAAGCAGATCGAAACTACCCTTGGCCGTCACCAGTTCTGATGACTCCAAATCTGCTCGATCCGGTGGGGAAGTTTCAGAGGTGTACTTTTAACTTACTGTTCACTGTTGCTGACTCACTCTAAGAATTTACAGAAATCCTGCTACTCATTCATGCCTGCCAGTGTATCCAATGGTAAGAATGCGTGTCCGTACCGGAACAGGGCGCCATGGAGAGAACCGCTGCTGTAAACAGGTAAATCCTATAATACCGTGATTTAACTGCCCGCTTCTTCCTTTCACACGGCAACACTGCTACTTACTTTAAGTAATTACTGGTTCCACTGCCCTTCAACTGCAGGCACAGCTGTAAGGGGTGACAGTGTCTCAAGGGGTAAAACTTGTCGTTCCAGCGCTGACACTGTCGTTTTACTTTAACCGCTATATACCCGATGTAATTCTCAATGGGTTAACCGAGGTTGATGTACGTGTACATTTATATTGGATGCAGAGGATACCATATGCTTACCGTATATTGTAATCAGGTATAATATTGCAGAAAAGCGAGTTTCCCATGGATTAATAGTGCAGTTAATTTTAGAATCTACACACACTGTACAGTAACTGAAGTACACATATAAGTTACGGTGCCACTGATATAGTGTTAATGCATTTTATATATATATGGGAATTGTATAAAGGAATTGATACTTGATTCATATATAATGCTGTTATTGCATAATGCACAGTGTCATATTGAGCTCCAATATATTGTAATTGATGAATATTCATGTAGTTAGTGTTACATATAACTATATCTATCATACAGTTAATGTAGAGTGTGGAACATATTATACATTTAGTGTAAAGTATGGAATACAGTACATCATATAATTAGTATAAAGCATTGTACATATGCTACAGTTAATGTAGAACATAGAATATATTATACAGTTAATATAGAGTATGGAATAAATCATACAGTTAATGTAGAATATGGGATATATCATATAGTTAATGTAGAATATTGAATATGTTATAATGTTGCTATAGAGTATGGAATATATCATACAGTATAGAATATATTATACAGCTAATGTAGAGTGTGGAATATTTTATACAGTTAGAGTGTGGAATATGTTATTCAGTTAATGTAGAGTATGGAATATATCACACAGCTAATGTATTGTGTCCTCCCCGTTAAAATCTAGGATGTGTTTCTGTTCGAGTCAACCTTGTATTGTGATTACTGTGAGGACCCCTGTCCGGCTAACTAATCCACACCTCAATCTGTTTGTGTTATAGAAACACACTCCAATCAACAGAAAGCACTCGGCGATACGGCTGCAGGCAACATTCCTGGTGACTCCCCATCCATTACCGGACCAGCCACAAATTCACTCCTGGTTATAATCTCTGGTCCTGGAGCAAGGAGGCGAAAGAACATATGGAGTGACTCGGGAGAGCGGGGAACAGGAGAACTGTGGGTGTGCTAAAGCAAAGAGAGAGAGTCTGGCAACATCTTCATGGGCAACCTCACAGAGCAGGGCAGCAGCAATGGTGTGGGGCAAGGGCTGGCAGTGCGGGCAGTGACTGGCTGCTTGCTTTTCCTCCTCATTCTCTCCACGCTGCTGGGGAACACCCTGGTGTGCCTGGCGGTGATGAAGTTCCGGCACCTGCGCTCCAAAGTCACCAACTTCTTTGTCATCTCGCTGGCGGTGTCCGACCTGTTTGTGGCGGTGCTGGTGATGCCCTGGAAAGCCTTGAGCGAGGTGGCTGGCCACTGGCTCTTTGGCCCCTTCTGCGACACCTGGATCGCCTTCGACATCATGTGCTCGACCGCCTCCATCCTCAACCTGTGCATCATCAGCCTGGACAGATACTGGGCCATTGCCAGCCCATTCCGATATGAGCGCAAGATGACCCAGAGGGTGGCTTCGGTGATGATCGGGGTGGCATGGACACTATCCATCCTCATCTCCTTCATCCCAGTGCAGCTGAACTGGCACAGGGCAGGAGCAGAGCTGCTACAGGACAGGGCCAACAGCATGGCCGGCTGTAACTCCAGCCTCAACAAGACCTACGCCATCTCATCCTCCCTGATCAGCTTCTACATCCCGGTGGTAATCATGGTGGGCACTTACACCCGCATCTACCGCATCGCCCAGACCCAGATTCGCAGGATCTCGTCCCTGGAGAGGGCGGTGGAACATGCCCAGAGCTGCCAGGAGCAGACAGCAGACTGCCCGCACGAAGCTGCCCTGAAAAGCTCCTTCAAGAAGGAGACCAAGGTGCTGAAGACCCTGTCTATCATCATGGGGGTCTTCGTCTTCTGCTGGCTGCCTTTCTTCGTGCTGAACTGCATGGTGCCCTTCTGTGCCCCAGCCCTGGCTCAAGCAGGGCAGGGTCCCTGTGTCAGCGACACCACCTTCAACATTTTTGTCTGGTTCGGCTGGGCCAACTCGTCTCTGAACCCGGTCATCTACGCCTTCAACGCAGACTTCAGGAAGGCCTTCACCAGCATCCTGGGCTGCGCTCGCCTCTGCCCCAGCAACGCGGTGGAGCCGGTCAACTTCAGCAACGAGCTGGTCTCTTACCACCACGATGACACCACGCTGCAGAAAGAGCCCCGTGCCGGCTCAGCGGGGGCTAACCCGGGCATCCTCCCCAACCAGCTGCCGCCCTCCCTCAGCGAGCCCTTCGACAAAGTCTCCAGCATCTCCTCGGTCCCCAGCGCCAGCAGCAGCTACAGGGGCCCCAGGGAGCAGAACCTGCTGCTGCCGGGGGGGCTGCCGTACGACGGCGAGGCCGAGATCAGCCTGGACACTATCACAGCGGTTTACCGCTGAGAACCACAGACCTCCGGGCCTGCCCTATTCCCCAGCCACCCAGCGCACAAACGGCGGCGTTTGGGGCAATGCCCGAGAAATGTGGCTGCGCCCAACATCCGCCGGTCCCTTCCACCGGAATTCAGTCCTCCCGGATAAAGGACCTCAGTGCAATCTCTCAGCCCAATACAAACCGAAAGAACGGCCGAAGCTGTAAATCAGAAACACAAGCAGAAATTTCTTGCAAAGCTCAGCAGGTCTGGCAGCATCTGTGGAGAGAAATCAGGGTTAACCTGCTAAGCTTTTCCAGCAATTTTTCTGTTTTTGAAACTCTCATCCCCACTGCTCGTGTCCTTCCATTCGCACTCGTCAAAGTCAATTCTGGGACCAGCGATGAGACTTCAAGCATCATTTGTCGACTGTCAGATAATCCGACCAACACCATAATGTACTTCCCAGCTGAACAATTTGGCAAATCCGAAACTAATCGTCCTTTGACAATGGTGGTGTTTTCTCTTTTCCTTAATGGCTATTGTCTACTATCGAGATTCACCCATTTTACACATTACCTGCCGGGGTCCACCAAAATTACCTGCAGCAAAAAAAACCTTTTGAGCCACAGGTAGTTACCATGGTTATTCTTCATTCACCCTGCCAGAAATCAAAATTTCCTCTCTAATTTGAATTCCTTTCATGAGTAAGTCCATAATTCAGGGACAAAAATCTTAAAAGGCATCGACCTTAATCCATCCTTGAATCATTGGAGCACGTGTTCTCTTCCTGACAGCTTTGACATTAGATCTAGTTAAGTGACTAGACATAGTTAAAACAAAATAAACTGCCATTGAAGTAGGACTATTTGTAAAAGTCTTTCAAAAAGTACGTGAAGACAGCATGATTTGAATAGCCCCCTTCTGTGCTGTAAAGTTTCATGATGTTCTCCCATTAGCAGATGGCAAATTCATATATTTACAATCTGGTCCATTTCATCCCCCCCACCCCCCTGTACTGGATAGGCTGAAAATAAAGGTCTTGGTTTACTCTATCTCCTCAAAACCAATTCTTGTCACACTCCACATCAGCTCCCTTGTTCCTTCCTGGGGCTTGCTGTTTTTCACTGGCTCCAACCATTCTCTGCTTACCGTTTCCCATCCTTCTGCTCCCACTCATTCATGCTTTGCCCTGGCTTCTGCAATTCCACTCCCCATGTGAGAGAATGTTGGAGAAAATGGAATAATTGATAGTTGCAGAAGGACAAAATGTACGGTGGGCAGAAAATACTGGGGTATGAGACAAACCAGAAGGAGCAACAAGAGTGACAGAGAGAAAACAGAGGGCACCTGAAACTGATTAATAAAGGGATAAAATAAGAGGAACCACAGAAGACAAACTCAAAAGGACAAAAAGAACTGAAAACACACCAACAGAGTAAAATGCAGGATGATGAAAGATAACAGAGAAAGAAGGACTTACTATGAAAAGAACTTCTAAGTAGCTGTTTCAGAAAGCCTCCACATTTTAATACTGTTATCTGTCTCCAGAATGCAGATCTACAATGGCTGTGAAGCCTGGAGTTAATGAGGTGCATATGTATTTCCCCTTAAGACTCCTACTTAGGCACTCTCTGTGGATACATGTTATGACGCACCTCCAGACAATCCAAATGTAGGGACACTACCACTATGCCTCAAGATCCTTATGTTGTCTAAAAATGTTCCTGATAAATTAGAGGTCACATGTCATTGAAATATTGTCTCGGTTGGCAGGTTCTTGCCTCCACATTGTTTTAAAATCAGAAAAAAAAGCTGAAAATAACTTTTCATTTGCTAAGATCATGTAAAACATTAGATGGCAATTTTGACAACTTGACTGTAATGTCTGGAAAACTCAAAATTTTTATATAAAATCTACACATTTAAAATGTTTACTTGCTTTTTCATTCTCTTACACCCTCAACTATCAGTACTGGGTTTTCTTTTGGCCATTTAAAGTGCTACTGTAAAAATTCTTTTCAGTGCATTCCTTCATAATACATGAAAAAAGGGTTGGACATGGTTAGCCCAAAGAAGCAGATTAGCAACCATCAATGAGCTTGTGCAGTAATTTTTCTATCACTTTGGGGGAAGCTCCAAAACATCTGGCAGATTATTAAAAGTCACGTAAAATATCAGAAAACAAAATGGATATAGAAAGAGGAGATTGCATTTCCTTGGTGGGAACCCAAACAATATTGTCTAATTTCCTTAATTGTAAGGGAAAAAGGAGACAGAGGAACAGAGGCTATCAGTTTCACCTGAAAAGTGGCAAAACCTCAATACTATGCACTTATAAGACAACATACATGAACCATCAGCTGTCATCTGCCATTTCATAGAATTCTAAAGTTAAATTTAAGATGGCATGAGCAAAGCACAGGTTGGCGCAGTGCACTTTGAAAATGGAGGCCTTTCTTTGTGCGGTATGCAAATAATGTTGACCTTTGTAAATGTATTAACAATTTAGTCTAAAGTATCATGCTTATAAAATAATAGTCTGGACAGTCTAAATACAAACAGAAAGTGACAGAGAAACTCAGCAGGTCCGGCAGCATCTGCAAAGTAAAAGTTTTGAGTCCAGTGACCCTTCCAGTGGTTTTATGTTGATGATGGGGTGATATTGGGGTATCTGTTTGCCAAAAAAGATGGCCAAGGTTCCTAATAGAATGAACCACTGAAGAAGTGGGACAGGACTGGGCAAGATGTAGATAGATTGCAGCATGCCTGAGAAACCAATGTGTAATACCAGCATACATTTTCAAACCTAGGGCTTGAATTCACAGGATTGTCAGAATTTTCTAATCCTCGTTAATTTATCAACAGCAATTCTGAACTGGAGGGAATATCTCCACTCTTGCCACTTCCAGTATGTTATCCTGAAAGATCTTTGGAAATATATTTTTGGATTTTTGTGTTAGCAGCAATGGTCAACATTTATTGCCCCATTCCTAATTGCCCTTGGAAAGTGTCAGGAGTCAACGTAGAATTGGTAGAAAGGTTCAGAAACAATTTTCTTCCAATTTCAGGTGGGGTAGCACTGGGCCCCTATAAATGCTGAAGTGGAATATGTAGCTCACACATCAATTCCCCTCAATAATGAAGAACCCTGCACTCCGGTGCTGAAATGAACAATGAGTTTGAATAAAGCATTACTGAAAATGTATAGGGCTCTGTCAGCAGAAATCATTTTTAAACTTTTCATCTCATGAAGAGATTGGGAAAGCATCGAATTCTGATAATAGCTATTTATTTGCACTCATTGCTGAGTTCAGTGATGGAGAAAGAGGAGTGCTGAGCTCAATATTCCAACAGGAAAGTGAATCATTTTCAAGCATTACAATGCTGATGAGTATGGAGATTCAGTCATTGCTGCACTCAGCAGCCAAAGGATTAAAGAATCTTTTTAAAACAATGCCACCTGCAGATAAGCCTCAATTTAATTCTGGACCAAAGCAAATGCTGGCTTTTATGGAAAACCTCACAAGAAACTTTTCTTTAAAGTATTCCATGTTTATTTGGCCTGAACCTCTAAGTAGGGAGATGATTATTTTTTCTAAAAGGCAAGTAATTAATGTAGTATATACGACATAAGTAGAACAAAAGAGACAGCAATGATGGATATAAAATAGCTGCAAAATTGCATTTTTAAAAATAGAATATTTAAAATGTACTGCATGATCTACTCATTTCATTAATATGTGATATTGAAGAGATGGAATGTATTACCCCATTTGACAGCTGTATCATAAATCTCAGCTAAGTTTCTTTGTAATTCTTTCATAGGGATAAAAGTGAAGATCCCCTCAACTGGTAATTTTCAATTAAATTGCACACAATGTTCATTTGTGCGGCATGCAAATAAGGTTGACCTTTGTAAATGTATTAACAATTTAGTCTAAAGTATCATGCTTATAAAATAATAGTCTGGACAGTCTAAATACAAACAGAAAGTGACAGAGAAACTCAGCAGGTCCGGCAGCATCTGCAAAGTAAAAGTTTTGAGTCCAGTGACCCTTCCAGTGGTTTTATGTTGATGATGGGGTGATTGTAGAGTGTGGGGTACAGGGGTATTTTCTCTTTCCCCCACAACTTTACCTCCATCATCAACATAAACACCACCCCTCTCCAGCTACCCTCAGCTCTGATGAAGGGTCACTAGACTGGAAATGTTGACTCTGCTGAGTTTCTCCAATACTTTCTATCGTGTTTCAGTTTTCCAGCATCCACAATTCTTTATTTTTATTTTATGGGCAGTTTAAATAATCTTCATCTGTTTTTTTTTTTGCCTCCCCCACCCTGTTTTGAGTATAAGTAAATTTACTCTTCCAGTGTTTATGGATGGTGCAAAATCTGCAGCTTTAATGTGATTTTACCCCTGATTGTAATACAGCTAACATTCAGAAGATCTCATGAAAGGCAAACATATTGCTTCCCTGACTGATATTGAAAGATGTGGGTCTCATGGGCAGATAATTCTATTCACTTAGCAATTTTTAAAAGTCATGCTTAAGATGTAAATACCTTCTCATTTCCAATTACTTATGTCACTCGGTACATTAATTGTGCTCCACATTCAAGAGTGGATTCACATCATTTGTTGAGGATTAAAGTGCTTCAATTTATTTGTTTATTCTCATCTTCTCTCAGGCCAAAAACCTTTTATTCAATTACTAACAGGCTTTTAACTTTCTTTTTGAGGATCTGTATTTCTAGTTGAAGCTTCAGTTGGTGCAGCAGCTGATCCTGATGCTGAGTAGTGGCTGCCTGGATGAATCACTCCAACTCAAATATTCGAGCACAATATCAAAGCATCACCTAAATGTCCCCTTCTGGCACATTTATTAGTCTCTCTTACTGACTGAATTAAAAACTCTCATCTCGAACACTTCATTCAGTTCAGAATAATCAGTGATTTAAATTGCATAAAGCCGAAGAAAATTATTTTTTTCTACTACTTGCAGGAATTATTTTTGCAGGTAAATTTGG